TTCTATTCTCTTACAGGTGAGTGTAAATTACACTGCTAGTAAAGTCCATCATAAGGAAAAGAAATGGGCACGAATTCAGAAAGGGTATCAGTGTGGTAACTTATGAAATCCAAGAGGAAATAATAATGAATTCTTCCTGGGGGTGCTGGAAAAAATTACAAATAGGTGACATTCGAACTGGATTGAAGTGTCAGTAGCATGGAGAGGGAGAGCTTGCAGGTAGAGGAGCAGCACCACAAGCTCCTAGAGGCTGAAAAGTACAGGAATAGCATGAAGTAAATATGTTGCCAGGATCTGAGAAAAACTTTGAGCTACAGAACAGCGGGTTACACAGTAATTTGGTGATTTTAACCCCGTTTTTCTTTTTCACTTTTGCAGATACTTGGATCTTTGTTGCTTTGGGAAAGGATAGAACTGTACCTGCACACGTGTCATAAGGTAGGATGTTTGATCGTCATGGGGGACTTGAGATCAGGACTGAATGTGCTCTTTGGCATTTAGTGTTATCATACATGATTGCCCTTCTCTCATTATTGCCCTAGAGAAAAGAGATCTATTGATACAATTTTAACTAAAATTATTAAATTTCTTAAAGTTGTAATCAATTTACTGAAGGAACTGAACCCAAACTTTATTCTTTCTCACTACTTCATGTTGAACTCACTCTGTGGCCCTGTTCTTCCCAACCTAATGAGATCTTAGGCAAATTTCTTACTTTCCCAGTCCTTTTTAGTCACAAGAACATTCTCCTTTCAATCATGAAAAATTTTAGTTCATCGCCGGCTGTAGTGGCACACATCTATAATCCCAGCAGCTTGAGAGGCTGAAGGAGGATCATGATTTCAAAACCAGTATCAGCAACTTAGTGAGGCCCTAAGCAATTCTGTAATTCAGTGAGACCCTGTCTCTAAAAAAATAAAATAAAATAAAAATAAAGAAAAGAAAAAAAGAGAGATTCACAGCATTGGGGACAGGAGTCCCCTGTGTTTCTCCTTTACTAGCAAAGCAATAAGCCTTCCTTTTCCTTTTTCTCAAAACCGTGTCCTCATTATTGGATTGGCATTGGGGGATGAAGACCAAACTTTCAGCAACAAATCTGGTGATCCAGATGGGACCCAAGAGCAGCCCCCGCTGCAGCTTTCTTGGGCAGGCCTGGCTCTCCAAGGAACCCTACTTCCATGCTGAAGATGCAAGGTGAGCTGGCAAACTTGTTGAGAGCCAACTGCTGGAGAGTTAGGAGATGGGTGAGTTTGCCTCAGATTGAACCAAGAGCTATTCCTTTGAGTGAAGGAAGGGACTTTGGGACTGTCCCAGCAGCTATGAATCTCTTTTTGCTTTGGGGAACTCCCGCCTTCTCTCCCTGTACAGTGGAGGTTGCTCCTTGTGGTCCACTTTGAGAAAAAGGAAACTGAACTCAGGAAATTCACAACTTTGGCCATTTGGTAAGCCCCTGGTGTGCACACTGAGATCCCTGATTCCACACATCTGGTTCATTTGTGAAGGAACACCTATGGGACCCCCCTATAGTTATAAGCCTATCTAAGATAATGTTTTACTATAATGATGTCCCTTTTGAATAGCTTTCTGGATAATTGCAGTTGGAGTTGGTCTATCAAAAGTAAAGTAAGTGGAAGAAATTTGTATGTGCAGGTCTGTCTATTTTAAAGCTTCCTTTCTGTCAGCCCTTGTTTCAGTGATCTTTTCTTGTCTGTTTTTTTTTTATTTCTGTTACTGGCCCTTTAAGACATGGGCCATGCTGCATTGCTCTTACAAGTAGTCTCTTGAGCAGAGAGGTCTTGGCTTTCTATTCCACCTATAGGTATAAGCCTGTCTAAGAGAAGGACATTTTACTGTAACACAGTCTGGCCTTTGGAGTTGATCTGTTGGGGCTAAAGTATATGAAAGAGATTTTGTATGTATAGGCATTTATGCAGTTGCATGATAGGGGTCTGAACACCATTCAGGGACTAATTTGAAGGTGCCAGAGGTACTGCCTCTGATATGCAAGGATAGCAGGACACCAGAAGAAAGAGTTATAAAAGATTTAAATATTTTAAACCCAATGCTGACACTCCCAGCACTGTTACTTAGCCTGGCCCCAGGCAGCCAAAGATCATCTTACTGTAGGTCAAGGACACCAGCCCTAAACTGGGGAGGAAAAGTCCCAGAAAATCTGCCTTAGCTATAGGAAAACAGCTAAAGAGAACCTGACCTCTGCCATGCCTTCCAGCCCCTTTTGCCCATGGTAGGTGAAGCTGCTGGCCACAAAGGATGTTGCAATAGGTTCCAGCACAATCAATTTATGACTTGGGAATGAGAATTGTCTCCCATTTTAAGATCTAACAGGACACCTCATTTGGCCAGGGGATGGCCATCATAGGGGCCTAAGCATTCCTTGCTATGAAAATATCCCATCAAACTAAGTGCATGGGGAGACTGGCAGAATAAACAACTCACTCCCAAAAGAAAAAGACAGAAACTAAGGCCAACCTACGGTTTGGAGGCAGCCTCTACAAAGGGATCTTCAAGGAAGCCTAAAGAAAAGGATGGAAAGGGCTTCCTGCATTACATATCAATATGCCTAGTATGAGAAAAAGATCCCAAAGGAGCCTCTGGGTACAATTGACAATGGGGAACTCACTTAGTAAGCCTTATGATAATGGTAAGGGAAACAGGTCAGGCTCAAATATACTGTTCGCCAACCCCTTAAATGAATACTGCGAGAAAAACCATTAAGGCACAGTTTTTGTGCATTCTGGATTGTCCAGCTCTCTCCTGGGATGAAATTGTTGTGTAAATTGCATGCACAGGTAACATTCATAAGGTCTGTTTCAGAATACTGAAGAAGTTGAAACTGAAACTAAAAAAGATAAAGGAATGATACAGGTGTGGAGATATTTTAGTATAGAAAATTAGAAGGTAAAAGAAATGTTTCTGGATGAGAAAGTATTTTTTCCAGTAAAGTAGTATTCTTGGGCTAAAGTCCAAGAGGAAAGAGAATAAAACTAAGGATGTAAAGTTGTGAATGTCTAAGTAGCAGAAGTTTGTGGAAGGTAAATCTCAAAAAGTTTGTGTTTGTGATTACATTGGCTATAACTGCACAGAGTTATTGGAAATTTAATGCAATTATATGAAGCAAAGTCTGAAACATGGATCTCTTATCAAGATAATTTTCTTGTATTTGTTAGGTTTTATTACCTGGGGAAACTAAATCTTAAAGGAATTAGGGTTTGTACCTGATATAAAGTCATAAACACTTTGTAACTGGTTAAACAAACAACTGTCACTTAGGTTATAAATATATGGTTTAGACAGATATGGTTGACTAAATACATGTGATTAGGTATGTGTATGCATCTGAGAACTATATCTGTCTAAGCCTTGTCTAAGTGTTATTTAAAAGTTTATAAAATGAAAGTTTATGTAAGTTTACTGGCGAGATAACCAATAAGTGCTCTCTTTTATATACATTATATCTCACATAGACTGGCCACACTGTCATTTTGAAGACCTGTCTTTGACTAAGTCAATTTCTGATCATTAACACCATTTCCTAAATGTATAAGGGATTTAAAGCTATTCTTTTATTTTTATTAACCCATGCAGACATGTGATTATTTGATACTGTACACTTTGGATTCTAAATTGTACTCTAAAAGTTAATTAAATGTAAAGTTTAGGAGAGCACTTTTCCAAGTTGGTGTTCTCTGAATTAAAATTCTGTGTAGCAAAAGTCTCAGATAAAATAAAAATAACAAATTTGGTTGGTATTTATTCATGTCATTTGATGTTTTATAGCTGGATAAAGTAAGCTGTTGTCAATAAACTATATATACAATTTTGTGTTACTCTTCACACTGGAATTGGAATTTAAATGCATTTTTGGAAGATAATAAGGAGATCCTGGTCTAAAGGTGACATTGTAAAACATGGAAGCATTCTGTCACTTTTTCCACAAAAATACAGTTAAAAGCTCTCTTAATCTTTCTTTGATTCATGTTTTAAATGTAATGTTGTATTGTTATTTGTAAAGAGCTCTGCCTTGCCTGAAATAAGGCTCTGCCTCCAACCTTATTCTATGTGGGAATGGCTTCAAAATAGGCTAGACTTCATCTCATTTAAAGTTGTGTTCAAAAGATTGATTTTTGTTGTAAAGACTACTGTGATCTCAAACAAAGGATATAATGTATAACTAAGTAAAGGTTCAAGATTATAAAAGTTATTTTTCTTGGTTCACAGATATTACATAACATGTTTTTGCTTTATAATTTTATTTTGTATTTTCCTTTTAGACTTTATATAACTGTTGCCTGATAGCGTTTTGTAGAGGTACTGCTTCTTTAAGAGAGAGAGAGAGAGAATGAGAATGAATGAGAACACACCTGGGTTAATTTGAGATAATAAGCCATCACCTATAGGAAAGATAGTATATATAATGCTGACTATCAGTATTAACACTAACCCCAATTAAATGAAAGAGGTAACTAACATTATAGATGTTGAAGTTATAACCTGTGACTCCCTCTTTAAGACTGATGAAACTGGGTTGCTGGGTGTTTAAAACCAAAAATGTGGAAACCAAAGTCAATGAAGTAAAAGCGCCAAGGAAAAAACAGTCAACATTTTGGCCCTTGCCCTATAAGGTCAATCAAGACTCAGAGAACAATGGGAACCCTCTCTGGGCCCTGCAGCTCTGGTGAGTCACCTGATCTGCTTATCAAGGAGATGGAGAGGACCCTAGAGAATAAGAAGCCAACCAGTGCACATTCTGCAAAGGGGAGAGTGAGTCATCAGAGACAGAAACATCCCTGATACTTCCAGTAGAAGACACTTATTGTCAGCAGGACTCTATCCCATTCTAGTAGATGGCACCACTGGTTGAGGAAAGCTAAAGGAGTCAAGAGGCTTCAGACATGTCCCCAAGAGTGATCTCTGAGGAATCTCAGCTGCCTCTGAAGAATAGGTAGGAACAAGGTCAGTTTTGACCAACTTAAACATAAAGTGGACCATTGTTACACTTATAGCCTAAGTGTAACAGGGGTTCACTTGAATGTATCCCTTGTGGCTTTGAAACTTACATGTTTTTCCCCAGTCGTCTTTTTCTTAAATTTCTCCTACCTGTTCTTCTTTTCCCTAACCTCTTCCCTGATCTTCTTTTCCCTGATCTTCTCTGGTATTCTTTTCCCTAAACTTCTCCTTTCTTATCTTCTCTTTCCTGATCTCTCCTCCCTAATCTCATTTTCTCCGAATCACCTCTATAAAAGCCCCCTGTTCCTGCTGATGGGCAGAATCGCAGCCTTTGGGACAGGAGTCCCCTGTGTTTCTCCTTTGCTAGCAAAGTAATAAACCTTCTTTTTTCTTTTTCTTAAAATGGTGTCCTCATTATTGGTTTGGCATTGAGGACAAGGACTGAGCTTTCAACATTAGCACAGCCCTAC